AATCTGCATCAGAGAAGCCATGTAGAGAGAACGGACTGTCGGACCGAAAATAGACACCATGGGTTAGAGTACCAGCAAGGTATCTCAGAACTCTCTTAGCAGCTTGCCAATGGTCGTCTGTGGGTTTGTGCATGTAGAGAGACAGTTTGTTGACTGCGTAGGCAATATCTGGACGAGTGATGGAAATGTATTGTAGACTTCCAACCACCATCCGATATTCTTTGGCATTGTCAAGTGCTTTGCCGGAGTGTAGTGTGAGCTTAGGTGAGGTCGGCATAGGCGTGGAGACAGGCTTAGCTTCAAACATGTGTGTTTTGGTGAGGAGATCAACGATGTACTTCCGTTGCATGAGATGGAGACCATTGTTGGTGCGTGTGACCTCAATACCGAGAAAGTAGTGAATGTCACAGGGATCCTTGATCGAGAAACGTGTCGCAAGCGATGTCTCCACACTGGTTACAAGTTCTGGTCGATTCCCTGTAACAATAATGTCGTCAACGTAGACAAGGACATAGAGAAGTACCGAGTCTCGGCAGTAAACAAAGAGGGAGGTGTCTGCAAGCGAGTTGGTGAAGCCAGTTTGAACCAAATGATCCTTGAGAGCCATGTACCACGCCCGAGGAGATTGTTTGAGTCCATAGATGGGTTTGTTGAGACGACACACATAGTCAGGACGGGTTGGATCAACAAGTCCTGGAGGCTGAGTCATGTACACCTCCTCCGTTAGCGTGCCCTGCAAGAAAGCATTATTAACATCAAGTTGGCGTATGGGCCACGATTTGCTTGCAGCGACGTCGAGTACAATGCGGATAGTGGTGATCTTGATGACGGGGTTGAACGTTTCAGAGTAATTGATAGGTTAAGTTTTACCCTATATTATCACTGCAAGTGCACAGCAAATCAATGTAGTATAAAGGGTTTATCGAATCCAAACGTCTATCAGTTGCACAACGAATTTCCAGATTCAAATCAGGCTAAGTAAGATATGAGTAATGTAAAACAAAGAAAAGAAAACAAAGTAGCAGGTTGAATCCGAATTGCAGAGTTAAATATCAGGATATTAATGAAGAACCATTCTAGAACTCAAATCACAATTGTAAAACCAATCAACTTTCGTTGCAGAGATTATCTATGTCTAAACTTAGAATCCCAAATTTCTTTGCAAATTCAACAATTCAAACAAGCATTAATGATCAGGTTTGATAAGTTCACAAAATCTCTAAACCAAATTCCTTTGCAGATAGATATTTTGCTCATCTAAGATAGTTCAGGAAATCAATAACACTTTCGTGTCTACCAATTAACCTAAGATCAGATTCTAGGTCGCGAAGCTAGAATAAGCAATAAACACAATCCAGATGAAGAACTCTAATGATTATCCTAAGCAATTGCAATTCTTCTTCAACCTTTGAAAAACCCTAAACCTAACAAGGAATCTACTCAGACATGGTGATTGAGACAAACATCATGAATAAAATAGATTGCATAAAAGAAATAAGAATAGAGATAAAGGAGTTCAAAATCTTCTCTGAAGGAGTTTGATCTATCTCTCCAAAGCTCTGCTACAAATCTCTCTCTAAGTCTCAATAGAATAAAGTATGAAAAGTAGCCTAACAATGGCTTTAAAAACCTAAAAACTCTAAAACACGAATTGGGCTTCTTGTAAATAAGTGGAACTTCTGGGCTAAAGTGCAATCTTCAAAAGTCTTTAAAATTAATCGCTGCTTCTGGGAATAACTTGGTCGACCGACACAGATGAATGCGTCGGTCGACGCAAGACTCTGAAATCGTCTGTTTGTCTTGTTTTCCAGCAGCTTCCCCAAATATGCTCCAAATAGCTCCAAAATCTCCAATTGTGCTCCAAAACATGCTTAGACCTGAATAGACTCAAAAAGACTCCAAAAACACTAAAAAGACTCTATATACAAGACTTATATCATGGCAAAAACCCATAAAAACCATGATATATCAACTCCCCCAGACTTAGCTTTTGCTTGCCCTCAAGCAAAACAAATAACTAAACTGTGAAAGAGGTTTGAAAACAAGGCAGTTCAAAGAGTCAATGCATTGTGAGTTTGTTCTACTTTAAAAACTTTAGCCACACTCATCACAACATGAAGTAGATTCCAACTCAACCTATATATGCATTCAAATCAACCATTCCTTTTAACATTCAATTAAAGAGTAACCATGGATCAAGTTCATGCAATCAAGTGAAATCATTTAGCTAGGGACAAGGTTAAGAGACAAATATGGTCTCTTTTCATCCAGGTTTAAGCAGTCAAACAAGGGATCTCTCAAGAAGTGAATGAGCTTTGGCAAAATGCTAAGGGTAAAGATCAATTTATGCATACAAGGATAAATTTTCATCTACCCAAGTAACTTCAAATTTCCACAATACAATCCCATAAATGATCCTAAGCTACCCATTAAAGCACTTTCTCTTCATAAACAACTCTTCATACATTCACTTTCTTTTCTTTTGAACCCAAGGAAGATTCAACTTCTGATTCCAAGTGGTTTTGGTCTAAAAACTCTGCTTTGGCTCTGTTTTTTTTTTTTATTTTTTTTTTCTTTTTTTTCGATTTTTTTTTTTTTTTTTTTTATTATTATTATTTTTTTTAACTCAGAGCCAAAGACAGAAAAACAATATATACAAACCAAATAACCACTTCTAAACAATCTCTTCTCCTTAGTTCTCTTTTCCATTAAGCACAAATCCAAATCCCAATCATACCCTATCCAGTCTAACTCAAAAAGGGTGAGCTAGTTCTACATGAAAACATATCCTTGTCGTTCTAAACCCAACACTTTTTGCTAAGCTCATTCAGAAAATAGGCCTCACATCACTCACTAAGCATTGGCTTGAAAGAAGGCTTGGTTCAGGGTGGGATTAACTGTCTCAAAATGGAGATCAGCTACTTGGACTAACAAGAGTGGTAAAAAGGAATAAGAGAGCCCAAGTATGTATATGGTATCCATGAAAACACTTTCAATGCATGAACATGATAATTGCAAGTCAGATTATGGTTCTAATAAGTAAGGAATGGTGTCAAATCAAAGCATGTGTCAGTCAAGTTGTGAATGGATACCAATGAATTCCAAGTGTGGTGCTATCTTAACTTCAAACTCACTCTAATGCATCAAACAACTTTGAACAACCAAACAATTTTGACTCAATAAAACATTTTCAAAAACTAAAAACCAAAAACTAAGACTCAAACATGTACACAATATCAGTAACTACCTCCCCCAGACTTGAACAACACTGTCCCCAGTGTTATACAGTCCGAAAGTTGGCAAAATGATCAAAACTGAGTTAAAGTTGAAAAACAGAAGGTAGTACCTTCTGGATAATCTGCGTCGGTCGACGCAGTCTTTTGTGTCGAGTCCGCTTTGCTCGTGTCGACCTGGTGTCGAGATTCGCGTCGCATCGTCCCGTCTCGAAGTTGCGTCGGGCGACGCAGAAGTTGCGTCGGTCGACATAGCATAATTTTTTTTTTTTTTTTTTTTTTTTTTCAGAAAACACAAAACAAAAATTAGTGAAAACAAAACGAAAATCACAAAGGAATTTCACCTACAAGTGGGTTGCCTCCCACTAAGCGCTTGTTTTCAGTCATTAGCTTGACTGTGTCAGGGTTCAGGCATCTGGTGGATCAGACAATGGCAACAAATGCCTCTGAGAAGAATGTCTCCTCATCCATGGTGGTGTATAAGCATTAGGTGCATGAGGACGCCCAAGGAAGTGAGGAATAGCAGCAGGGTGGGATGTGAGTTTGGGTGGAACACTTCTTTTTCCTGCAGAATCATCAAAAGAAACACCAAGCTTTCTACGAGAATCTCGTTGCTTGCATAAGTGTGAAACAGCTTTACACCTTTTAAATTGTTAATGATGATATCAGGGGGTTTGGAATTAAGTTCAGAAGTGCATACCTTTGCTTTATGGGAGGCTTTTGTGCTATGAGGTGATCACCAACTAAGTCTCCACTCCAATCTTCCAGCTTGTTCACTTGCTCACTAGTATCCACTCCTTGACATACCCAGCAGTAATGTCATGTGAATGCTCTCTTTGATTGCATCTTCATCCTTAGAAATCTCCACAGAAAAACTCTGACCATCAATGGTGGATCTCCTCCTAACTTTCCCATGTCAAAGTTCATGACAAAACACCCAAATCAAGCTCTATCTTCCCTTTCTTCACATCAATGATAGCACCAGCAGTAGCTAAGAAGGATCTTCCCAAATAAGAGGATCTATAGGTTCTTCAGCATATTCCAAAACCACAAAGTCTGTGGGAATCAAGTGACCTTCAATTTTAAGTGGAACATTCTCTAAGACACTTTGTGGGATTCTTTTAGATCGATCAGCCATGATAAGAGAGATCCTAGTTGGCTTGAAATCAGTCATTCCAAGTCTAGCAGCAACAGAGAGAGGCATCAAGTTTACACTGGAACCTAGATCACAAAGAGAATGAGGAAACCTGCTTGTTGAGATGAGCAATCTAGCACAAAGTTTCCTGGATCAGGTAGCTTCTCTGGAATCTTGTTCTGAATCATAGCACTGACTTGTTCAGAGACCATCACCTTCTTCTTCTTTGGGACTGTGTTCAAGAGAACATCACTAATGTCTTTGGTAAGCAATGCTCCTTCCTCAGGACTCACACCATTCACAACCATTCTCTTAACATACCTCCTTAGTGCAGGGAAAGATTGACTGCATCAACTAATGGTATCTCAATCATCAGCTTGTCTATCATGGCCTTGACTTTTGCATCTTCAATCTCTTGTTTAGACTTCCTAGGACCTCTTGGAAAAGGAATTTTAGGCTTATAGACTCTTTCTGCACCTGATTTGGACGTTTCTGTAAGATCTGGTGCAGTCTGGAATTTGCAGGAATTTGCCTGAAAATCCGAAATTTGCAGAATTTCTTCTGGCAGATCACTTGCGTCGACACTGACGCAACTATTGCAGTGTCGACCGACACAGTTCAGTGGTGTCGCCCGACACGCAACTTCTGCAGTGCGAAAATCAGTTGCAGTCTTCTCAAAATCCACGAAATTGGCTCCAGTTTCCACCATAATAGCATGACATGAATGTTTGGGATTGATATTGGTCTTTCCAGGAAGAAAACCCTCTTGTCTTTTGATAGACTCAGCACTTTGAGCAACTTGAACATCCAACTTCTTCACATGTGTGCTCAAAGCTTCAAATTTCCCATTCAAGTCTTGGTACATGGCATCCATCCTTCCATTAAAGCTCACAGTCATGTTTTGCTGACCTTCTAGAAGTTGCTTAAGCATTGACTTCATCTCATTGTCTTGTTCAGGAGGTTTCTGGTAAGAAGAAGAACCATAAGGCTTATGATAAGAGGAATTATATCCTTGTTGATTGGCCCATCTCTGTCCTTGAAACCCAGCTCCATTGATGAAATTAACATCTTCTTCATCCACACTTTCAACCTCAGCAGCAAATTGAACTGATTTCTTTCCCACAAGAAGGCCATGCACAGAATCTAACTTAGCCTTAACCTCAGCAATTTGACTTCTATCCATGTTTCCACCTAGCTTCTTCCTCTCTAAATCAGCATTCTTGGTACTATTGCTAGATGCCAAGTTCTCAATAAGTTGGTAAGCCTGATGTGGATACCTGGTGTTGAAATTCCCATTGCTCGCAGCATCGAGAGCCATCTGATACTGCCAATCAATGCCTCTAAAGAAGGTGCCCAGCAGCTGAATCTCACTAAAACCATGGTGTGGACAGTCTCTCTGATATGACCTGAATCGAACCCAAGCCGCCTTGAACGCTTCAGTAGGTCCTTGACGAAATGTAGAGATGTTGTTCCTTGCCTCCTCAGACATTGCATCATCATAGAAATTGTTCAGAAAGGCTTTCTTAGTATCCTCCCAGTTTGTCAAAGATCCTGGTTGCAACTGCTTTAGCCAGTAAGCTGCATCCCCAGCAAGAGAGTAAGGGAAAAGCTTGCAGAGAAGGTAGTCCATGCTCACGCCATCGGCTTTGATGCTGCTGGCCAGGTCTTCGAAGTTCTCAATGTGATCCATTGGTTTCTCAGTGGGATAACCATGAAAGGGATGCAGACCCACAAGAGTGTAGTAAGAAGGTTTCAGCTCAAAGTTATTCCTCTGGAACGGAGGAGGTCGGATCGCAGAGCGATTCGCATAGAAAAAATCAGGCCTGTTGTGGTCGCCTAGTGTGCGCTGCTCTCCTGCTCCTTCATTGGGTAGTGCCGGCTGAAAAGCTGCAGGCTGAATAGGAGCAGCTTGGTTGAGGGGGGGTGGGTTAGGAGCAGCTGGATCTACAGCTGGTTCTGGGATCACATTCCCAGCAGCATCGAGTTTCTGCCCTTGCTCATTGTACCGGTTCCCTTCTGGATCAAACAGAAGCCCATCTTCACCGCGAATCAAGACTATGTGATTGACCATCTCGACTGGCTTCTTGGCTTTTCTGTTTGTACGCTCTAAGTGTGCTAGCTCTTGATTGGTGAGATTGAGTAGCTCTTCCAGCTTGTTGCTTCTGGTTCTGCGATGGCATACACCTGAAACACCAAAAAGAAAGAATGTAGAGCGTGAGTAACAAAACAAAAAGAAACACTTAGACAAGACTCTAGAACTAGAAATCTGATGGCAACAACAAGACGATTGGCAACGGCGCCAAAAACTTGATAGGTTAAGTTTTACCCTATATTATCACTGCAAGTGCACATAAATCAATGTAGTATAAAGGGTTTATCGAATCCAAACGTCTATCAGTTGCACAACGAATTTCCAGATTCAAATCAGGCTAAGTAAGATATGAGTAATGTAAAACAAATAAAAGAAAACAAAGTAGCAGGTGATTGATTAACGAGGTTAAATTCAATGAGACAAAGGTTAGGCCTTGGGAAATTCGCAGGTTGAATCCGAATTGCAGAGTAAATATCAGGATATTAATGAAGAACCATTCTAGAACTCAAATCACAATTGTAAAACCAATCAACTTTCGTTGCAGAGATTATCTATGTCTAAACTTAGAATCCCAAATTTCTTTGCAAATTCAACAATTCAAACAAGCATTAATGATCAGGTTTGATAAGTTCACAAAATCTCTAAACCAAATTCCTTTGCAGATAGATATTTTGCTCATCTAAGATAGTTCAGGAAATCAATAACACTTTCGTGTCTACCAATTAACCTAAGATCAGATTCTAGGTCGCGAAGCTAGAATAAGCAATAAACACAATCCAGATGAAGAACTCTAATGATTATCCTAAGCAATTGCAATTCTTCTTCAACCTTTGAAAAACCCTAAACCTAACAAGGAATCTACTCAGACATGGTGATTGAGACAAACATCATGAATAAATAGATTGCATAAAAGAAATAAGAATAGAGATAAAGGAGTTCAAAATCTTCTCTGAAGGAGTTTGATCTATCTCTCCAAAGCTCTGCTACAAATCTCTCTCTAAGTCTCAATAGAATAAAGTATGAAAAGTAGCCTAACAATGGCTTTAAAAACCTAAAAAAACACGAATTGGGCCTTCTTGTAAATAAGTGGAACTTCTGGGCTAAAGTGCAATCTTCAAAAGTCTTTAAAATAATCGCTGCTTCTGGGAAAACTTGGTCGACCGACACAGATGAATTGCGTCGGTCGACGCAAGACTCTGAAATCGTCTGTTTGTCTTGTTTTCCAGCAGCTTCCCCAAATATGCTCCAAATAGCTCCAAAATCTCCAATTGTGCTCCAAAACATGCTTAGACCTGAATAGACTCAAAAAGACTCCAAAAACACTAAAAAGACTCTATATACAAGACTTATATCATGGCAAAAACCCATAAAAACCATGATATATCAGTAATCAACACCGTACTGCTGAAGGAAGCCTTTGGCAACAAGGCGTGCCTTGTGGCGGTCAAGAAGGCCGGTAGAGAAATACTTGAGCGTGAAGACCCAACGACAGCCAACAACATTCTGAGAAGGGTTCGGTGGGACGAGATCCCACGAGTGATTACGGATATGAGCACCAAACTCGTCAGAGACAGCTCGACCCCAGTTGGGATCTTTTAATGCTTGTGTGATTGTTGTTGGTTCCATGGGTAACAGGTTTTTGAGGGCTGCAAGGAGAGAGAGCTTTTTCGAGGGTTTGGTTATGTTGTTTTTGGAACGCGTTCGCATCTGGTGAGTATTCATGGGTTCATCCGGGTTGTCAGGTTCAGGTTGTGGTACAATTTCAGGGAGAGGGGCAGGGGGTGGTGGTGGTGGTGGTGGTTGAGGTGAGAGTGGAGGTGATGGTTGTGGTAAGGGAGAAGAGGGTCTCGAAGAGGGCATTGGAGAGACTTCAGTGGACGGTGTTTGTGAGTTGGCCATTTCAGGGTTAGGCACTGGTGGGGAGGGATTTAGTGGTGGTAAGATTTGATTTTGTGGCTCGTGAGGAGCAGTGGATGGAGTTTGAGGGTTAGAAGGCAATACCTGAGATGGAGACAGAAGAGAGACATTCGTCGGTGGAGGTGGCGGAGGGTGAGGGACCGAGCAGGGAGGCACTTGTTCTGGTGAAGGCAGACGAATCACACTCAGCGAAGTGGTGACCGATGTATCAACAACAGGAGGAGCTTCCATCGATGATGCGCTTGTACAAAAAGGGAACGTGAGCTCGTCAAACTGAACGTGTCGAGAGACATAGACTCGTTCAGTTTCGGGATCAAGACATAAGTATCCACTCTGTGTGAGAGAATACCCAACAAACACGCAAGGTTTAGAGCGAGCGTCAAGCTTGTGCGCCGTGTATGGACGCAACCAGGGAAAACATAGACAACCAAAGACCCGGAGCTTCCCATAGTTTGGCAACGTCCCAAATAAGCGATGATACGGTGAGTCATTGTTCAAGACCGGTGTGGGCAGTCTATTGATCAAGTAGACAGCAGCAGCAAAGGCATATGGCCAATAGTGCTTCAGTAATGATGCCTCGGTCATGAGAGTGAGGCCGGTTTCCACCACATGACGATGTTTACGCTCGGAGAGTCCATTGTGTTCCGGAGTGTGCGGCGGTGTAGTGAGATGTGAGATGCCGTGAGTTGCAAGAAAACTCCGTAACGCAATGAACTCTCCACCATTATCCGAGTAGAGTGTGTCAATTCGAGACTTGAAATGGTTTTCAACAAGGGCTTTAAAGGCAATGAAGGTTTCTTTTACTTGGGATTTGTGTTTGAGAGGATATAGCCAAGAATATCTAGTATAGTGATCAACAAGAATGAGGTAATATTTGTAGTTGTCAATGGAGGTAATGGGAGACGTCCAAACATCAGTAAACAAGTAATGTAATGGACGAGAGGAGACAATGGATGAAACAGAAAAAGGTAACTTATGGCTCTTATTGATGTGGCAATTCGAACAAAATAAAGTTTTGGACGGAGGAAGAAGAAGAAACAGGTAAAGAAAACTTGGAAATTATAGAGTTTAGGATAGGTGGAGATGGGTGACCAAGTCTCGAATGCCACGACGCTAACGTACTCTTAGTGGAGGAGGTAAGCATTGCCATAGCTTGTGGAGACGACACCAGCCACTCATAGAGTTCGTCCTTAGTTCTGCCTTGTAGAAGAAGTGCCCCCGTGCTGAGATCCTTCACCTGAAAGTGAGCAGGGAAGAATGTAACGGACACTTGATTAGTGTTACATAAGCGATAAACAGAAATCAAGTTCTTATGAATGTCAGGAACACAAAGAACTTTATGTAACAGCAGATCTTTAGATAAAGAGGGTAAGTGAGTAGAACCGGTATGAGAGATGGCTAAAGGAGAGCCATCACCAATTAAAACATCATCACTGCCCGTGTACGGTTGATGCAGCGAGAGATTGTTGAGACGTGATGTGGTGGGTTGCACCACTGTCAAGAAGCCAGTTACTTGCGATGTACGGAGACCCGACCGCGAGATTGGCACGAGGCTGTGACTGCCACGGTGTGAGTGGAGGATGTGGTTGCGGGGATGATTGTGAAGTCATCGCAGCGAGTTGGGGACATCTCCGCGCGCTATGTCCCTGAACACTACAGATTTGGCAACGACCTAGGTATGGACGACCAACGTTCTGGTGGGGACGAGGAGCAGACGGTGGAGATGGCCACACCACATCACTGTTGGCGTGTGAATGATTGTTGCGGTTCTGGTTGCGATTGTTGCGGTTGTAGTTGTTGTTGGAAGAGGCGGAGGAGGAGCGTTGTTGAGCGACGTTCGCAGAAGCAGGAAACGACGGAGTGAGACCACTAGACAGCAACTTGGCTTCATGGTTGAGGAGTCATTCATGAAGCTCTATGATGGACGGAGGAGCATCACGCCCTTCAACTTGATCAACAATCGGTTTGTACTCGTCTGGAAGGCCTTCAAGGATCAAGTCGATTTGATCCTCATGATCCATCGGCTTTCCAAGGATAGCGAGTTGGACGAGACGAGTGGTGGCTCCACGAAGAAATTCATCAACACTCTTGTTACCCTTCGTCCATTGCTTGAGTTGAGTTTTCAATTGCTTGATATGGCCGCGACTTGGCTTAGCGTAGGTGGAAGAGAGAGTCTCCCAGATCTCAGAGGCAGTGGTGGCACGTGACACAACAGGCTGTAGAGGCGTTGTAATCGCACCGATAAGACCACTGTAGATTAACCGATCTTGACGTTTCCAAAGGAGAAACAACGGGTTCTCGGAGACGACATCAACAGCGATGACAGTTGGAGGAGGAGCTGGTTTGGATCCATCTAGATGGCCAGCAAGGCCATAGCCATCGAGAAGGGAGTGAACTTGAAGGCTCCACATCAAGTAGTTGGAGGAGGAAAGCTTTGTAACATTAGCCATGTTGATATTCAATACGGTGGTGGCAGTGGTGTCGATAGCATCAGTGCCGTTGGCGGCCATGGCGGCAAGTGTGTTTGAAAAGAAAAAAAAGTTTTAGGTTTAGGTTTTCAGGAAAGCGTTATGCTCTGATACCATATAGGTTTGGAAAGTGAATAATATTATTAGGAGGCGATGTACAATATATATAGCACTACAAGGGAGACTCTAGGGATTATCTAATGACAATTAGACCCTTAATTACAACTATATACTATATCCTTTACATTTACAACAACCATTGGAGCCGCCATTGAAGCAACCTTCTTCAGCTTCTCCCATCCGATCTTCTTGATTTCTTGTTCTTCTTCTTTCTTAGCGTTTTCCAGTGAAGAATCTTCCATAGTGTGTCTTCTCTTTCCCTTTTGTTCCTAATGTTTAAAATTCCTATATAGAAAATGTGTCGAGTTCCAGCGAGTGCGATTTGCTAATAATTTACGCAGATTAATGGAGACAAGCTTACAGGAGGTCTACAGATTGGTGCATGTGGAGCTGTCGGTCAAGACCCTTTGAAGATAGTAGAATCGTCCGTTATAGAATTGTCTTGTAACAGTTCTCATATTTGCATAATAGATTAGTCTGTTCAAAAAAAAGGAAAACGTGTCCAGTCTAGTAGTGAAAACTAAATTTGTTTCTTTACCAAAAGAAAAGAAAGCTGAACTGATTTCTTAATTAAGATTTGACCTTCTATATTATAATTAAGGACGATGGTAAAGGGCTTTTAAAGCCCGAGTCCAACCATCCAACTAGTATGATATTGTCCGCTTTGGGTCCATGTATCTCTACCCTCACGGATTTGTTATTGGGCTTCTCTTCCCAAAAGGCCTCATACTAGTTAGGTTGGACACTACTTATATATTAGACACTTCTTGTCTAATATTCCGATGTGGGACTTGGATTGATATCCAACATTCTCCCCTTCAAGCCAAGGACCACATATCGTGTGGCTTCTCCACCTTCTCGTGGCCTTTCTGCGAAACTTGGCTCCCTTCTTGTGCTGCCGTAACTCCTCTACGGGTCTCTGCACAAGAATCTGGGCTTCCCCTTATCGCAATGTCTAGCTTGAGGGCTTTCTTCCCATATCTTTTTGTAATGCCAACATTCACAGGTCCACTTCTTTTGATCTAGGCTCTGATACCAATTAAAGGGCTTTTAAAGCCCGAGTCCAACCATCCAACTAGTATGATATTGTCCGCTTTGGGTCCATGTATCTCTACCCTCACGGATTTGTTATTGGGCTTCTCTTCCCAAAAGGCCTCATACTAGTTAGGTTGGACACTACTTATATATTAGACACTTCTTGTCTAATATTCCGATGTGGGACTTGGATTGATATCCAACATTCTCCCCTTCAAGCCAAGGACCACATATCTTGTGGCTTCTCCACCTTCTCGTGGCCTTTCTGCGAAACTTGGCTCCCTTCTTGTGCTGCCGTAACTCCTCTACGGGTCTCTGCACAAGAATCTGGGCTTCCCCTTATCGCAAGGTCTAGCTTGAGGGCTTTCTTCCCACATCTTTTTGTAATGTCAACATTCACAGGTCCACTTCTTTTGATCTAGGCTCTGATACCAATTAAAGGGCTTTTAAAGCCCAAGTCCAACCATCCAACTAGTATGATATTGTCCGCTTTGGGTCCATGTATCTCTACCCTCACGGATTTGTTATTGGGCTTCTCTTCCCAAAAGGCCTCATACTAGTTAGGTTGGACACTACTTATATATTAGACACTTCTTGTCTAATATTCCGATGTGGGACTTGGATTGATATCCAACAGATGGCTCAGTTGGCGAAGATTGGAATAGATCGTGCCAGTGCCCACTAGGTACCATGCGAGGCCATTGAGTTATTATTTGGTATGCCGATGAAAACTACAATTAATATTTGAGTATAATTATTTTAAATTATAATGATATTATGCTTTATGCTTTAAGCTTATTAGAAAATATGGTACGTGGAATACTCCACCAGTTACACTTAACTCTAATCTAAGGGTACTGTTAATGTTGATCATTACCAATTAAATTAAAATAGCATAAACTAGATCTACGGCACGTAGAGTGATAAACTATATTAAAAAGGAAAAGAGAGTATAATATTTCCACCATAAATCTTGGTGATCATATGAACTTTGTTTTGTCTTCAACCCTTTGCGGATGTCGCTTTGCAACTTGCGCTAAGTAACAAACTCTCAACGATTAATTTGATGCACAGTATAATTTCTATAACTTAATACTCCATATATTAATAAATTCAATAAGATAATAAATTTATCTGATACTTCCTCCGTTTCAAATTAGTTGTCGTTTTGGCAAAATGTATCTGCAAATATTTGGACGTATTTGGACGTGTTTTGCATTGCAGATACGTCTACATATTTGCAGATACATTTTGCCAAAACGACAACTAATTTGAAACGGAGGGAGTATGAAATTGGGCCGATTCAAAATTATGTGTTGATGCATTTTGTAAATTCAGAGTTAGATATATTCACTTCTAGTTATGCTGCTCTTCTACGAAGCGTGTGGACTTAACAAACTATAACTTTTGTTGTAGACTTGGACCACTTGGTATTTTTGAATTCACAAAATATATTAACCTCTTTGGGAGTAAGTTAGTTTAGATAGTGAACTTAATGGAAAGTAAATGTTTATTAGTACTGAAGATAGTTCTTCCACTAATGTAGCTCACGTCTGGATGCAAGTGCAACCTCCTGTCTCTGGTTCTAATAACCTTCTAAATTATTTGTTGCATTAATTTCCAATGATCAGTGAGGTAAATGCATATGCATATATTCAGTATATGTCGCCTTGATGGTTTGGCATAGGCTTCTTCTTTTTTTGGTTCGGCATAGTTGATTTTGGGATCAGTCGTTTGTTGTTGTTGACTTTTAAGATGAACATATCCCAGGTTTACGACAACATCAAAAACCTGAAGAGCAAGAATTTCTAGAAAGATGAGATATGTTTCAATTACTTCCGTGTGTTTGCAAAATATTGTGAGTTTTACAGAGCTGAACTCCGAGCATGCATGTACACCGAGTCATGCATCCATTCACTAAGTGTTAGCTTTGAAGTATTCACACGCTTTCGCAAACAAAGCATGAGGCTTTGACATAAGACAAATTAGGATGTTCATATCGCCATGACATGTGCTGTGTCATGTCCTCTAGTAGGTAGCTTTTCTTTGATCTTTCTCGAATAATTTCATATCAAGCATGCAGTAATTATTCTGCAGCACTACACATCTATTACACAAAGATGAAAGCAAGGTTCTTAAGATATGTCTGGGCATTACATTTATTCAAACACAGGGACAATGCAGAGGAACCAAACAATTAGGGTTTATGTAAAACTAGGTAATATGTTTCAATAAGAAGAAGAGCAACAAACGGGACACATTAGTGGATTTGGCATCAGCAGTAGTCTCTTACCACAACAAATTCCTCATCTTGTGGATGAAAACATCGACAACGTAAAACCAGAATCTGTTCCAAGGAGAATCAAAACAGAGAGATGCGAATAGTCCAAGAAGTATTGTCACATAGGCTGCAGCAAAACTCCAGTAGAAAGATACCATGTCCATTGGGGATTCATCATCTTCCACTCCACTATCTGGTTCTTGAAAGTTACTGCTGCCGCAACTTATGTTGATTTGTTGTCCACAGAGAAGAGGATTACCTAAGTAGCTTTGCGTATCGAAGGTGTTAAACTGCTTACCCTGTGGAATGGTTCCTGATACGTTGTTGTATGAGATATTGAAGACAGAGAGGCTGCTCAGATTTGTTAGTCCTGACGGGATCTGGCCTTGCAGTCTGTTGAAAGAAAGATCAAGGCTTTCCACATTCTTCAGACGTGAAAAGCTTTCTGGTATCACTCCTGATAACTTGTTGTGAGAAAGATTGAGAGCTCGTAGCTCCAAAAGACTTCCAAGCTCTACTGGGATATCACCACTCAACTCATTTTCTGAGAGATCTATTCCAAAGAACAACTGGAGATTTCCACTCACGTAAGTATCGTATCGGTGTTTTGTTGTAAATTCAACTGGAATTTGGGTGTTTGACCTATATTCCATAGTAAACGGTTCTAGCTCAATGAGAGATTTGAAATATATACCATTAGACTGATCCCTTAGAGTGAAGTCTTTTGGCATAGATAAAGATAAACCACCAAACTCAGTACCACGGCCGTAATCTAAATAAAAAATTGTATCCTCTTTCCCCAAACCAAATATTGTATTGATGAGGCATGAAGGTATGGATCCACTCAATCTGTTGTTTGAAAGATCAATAAGTTGGATGTTACTTAGGCCACACAACTGGCTACGAATACCGCCTGTTAAATTATTCCCCCGGAGAAGAAGAGTATGGGTGTGTTGGTTCTTGGTGAACTCCGGAATGTTTCCGGACAATCTGTTATTTCTCAGATCAAGTACAGTGACATACTTTAGCAATGTGTCTGGAATAACACCTGATAGCTTATTGTCTTGCAGGAATAATGCTACCAATAATGCTTCCGTACGCACAGAAGTCGCATTGACAAATGGAGGTATGCCCCCAGATAAACTGTTTGCAGAGAGGTCCAGTAGCTGAAGATAAGTATTGTTGAATAATGAAATAGGTATCTCACCTTCCAACGAGTTGTTTGCAACCAATAGTGTGCTTATAGATAGTTCCCCAATCCAGCTTGGAATGACACCTGTGAGACTGTTGTTCGAAATATCAAGCAATGTCATTGATCTTAAGCTTCGCAAACCTTTTCCAATCTTTCCTGTAAACTGATTGTTATCCATAGCCAGCTCCAGCATAGCAGGGAAGTTGGCTGATTCCGGAAAAAACTCTCCACTTAGTTTGTTATGTGAAAGCGTTAAGATTTTCATAGAAGAACAACCTTTCACAACACTTTTAGGTAGCTTCCCGATGAAGCTGTTGTGTGATATATCCAGATATTGAAGCCACTCCATGTTACCCAAAGATGATGGCAAATTTCCTTGAAAATCGTTATTAGCTATCTTCATATACTGCAAATATGGAAGTATCCACCCAATGTTCTCAGGAAGCAGATGCCTGAATTCATTAGCTGACACATCCAAGAAACGCAGATTATGAGCAGATTTTGGTAGCTGAAAGCTTGCTAGTGAATTACTCTGTAGAAACAAAACTTCAAGTTTCTTATTGTTTGCCAACAGCCAGTGAGGAAAAATTCCAGAAATATTATTGTCAGAAAGATCAATGTTCCACAAATCCTTCTCGTATTGAAGGAAATAAGGAACCTTTACCAAGTTGCAAGATGGTAGTTCAATAACAGTCAGTTGAAATTTTGGCTTCCAAGAACTTTCAGACTCTACATGAAGTGATTTGGATTTTGAGCTAAGTTTGAAAACCGTAAGCTCTGTGAGGTTGGCAAGCGAAGCAAGTGAGAAGAAGCCTTCGAAGTTGTTATCAGATAAAGATAAATACTCGAGGGATTCAAGATTACCGAGAGCAGATGGCACATTCCCGGTCAATTGGTTTGATGAGAGATCAAGAACTCTAAGTCCACTCAAGCCAGTTAAGCATAAGGGAAACTGACCTACTAGTTTGTTTCGACTAAGATCAAGATCTTGCATATTATTCATTTCGCAAACCCCTACAAGAATCAAATACAAATTATTTATACACATGATCAAACGTTAAATCACCATCAGTTTATATGTTTTAATGATTATACACATGATCTTTCATTTAAAATTTAAATGAAATTAGACTTGCCTTGTAGTTCCATTGGGTCAGAAAATCCATTGCTACTTAGATCCAGAGCTTTCAGCTTCCTGAGGGCAGATAACTCTGCCGCAGGACAAAGCGAGCACAAAGATTAAAAAATGGCTTTGCTGTTATTGAATTAAGTATCTAAAATTTCGGAGCTACCTTGTACTGGTATGGAGCCATTGAATAAGTTAAAACTCAGGTCCAACAGTTCCAAGTTTGTTAAATCTTTAAGTTCTGAAAAGAAATTCAACAAATACAAGACTTCAAATTATAACAATAATTATAACAGTAATTATAACTATTGAATCACTTAATCTCAATAATAAGGTAATTCTATGTTTCCGCTTAGACTGTTATAAATGGGAAAAAGAAACTTACCTTTAGAAGGAAAATTGCCATCCAACAAGTTTCCTCGAAGATAAAGAGTTGTAAGTGATGTAACGACATTAAGAAAAGGAAAGATGCTGTTATTGAATATATTCCCAGAGAAATCTAGAATCTCGAGGTTTGGTAACCTCTCTAGGCTTCTATAACCTGCATAACGAGAAACTTGGTAAAAATATAGTAATGATAACACACTAGTAAAGAACCTGCACATTTGTGCGGTGTGATGTTGCAGTTTGAGCGGTGTGACGTTGCGGTTTAGTGAAGAAAATATAATACCTTAATCACGAAAAAATCAATCTCAGAATATACCAGTTCATGAAATTCTATCAATAATTTTTATCTTAAGGGAACAAAATGGGTATTTATACTACTAAAATTGAAGTATTTGTGGTTTTTCATGAAACCTCGGAAAAATCAACAAAACCCGTTAAAAATCATTCTGGTTTTTATATCTGTAAATCCAAATCACCTAAAATCTGAAACTCGTTTAAATTTTAAAAAGTTTTTAAAAACTCAAAATCCTGAAAAAAAACCTGGAAAAGTTCGTACCGAACCCGAACCAAAAAGTTTAGAAAATGGAACGTTTTTATACCTCTAAATATGAAAACCCAAAAACAAAAAAAAACTGACCCAAAACCAATGCGAAACCCAAACTGATTTTTTTTTTTTAAACAAATTTTTTTTATATTTCTGAAAATCCTAAAAATCTTCCAAAAAATTCAAAAAAATCCAGAAAAAAAATTTGAACTGAACCCAGAAAAACATAAACCGAACCTAAACCAAAATATAGAAAAACCGTCTAGTTACATTTGTTGAAAATTGAAACATAATGATGAAGTTTATTTTGATATCATCTTGTTGTTTCTCTTGTGTTTTCTACTGAAAAAAAAAAGTTGTGTAATAAATCACTATCACTATATATTTAAAAAAGTTTTTACAAATGAAAAACACAAACAAAGACACGTGTTCTCCTTTTCTCCAGCTTAGAAACCTCTTCACTTCTCCTTCTCGTTTCTCCACCAAGAAAACATTTACTTTACTTTCTTGCTCTAATTGAGTTTATACATATATTTTGATCCTATCTTCTCCATCAACCCATCTCTACATATACTTTGATCCTTTGAGTAACAGAACAATCTTGCCTTCTTTCAAGTGTATCATCTTCTTCTTCGTTTTTCTTCTCCAGAAAAACCAATCAATATGGCTAAGGAACTTGCGTCCAAGGCTCATGAGACTTTCGACTTTCGTAGACGACGACTTCGATATTGATGGGGACTTGTACTCAAAAGCCATTGAATTGGATCCTAATTGTGCCGATTGTGCTCAAGCTAACATCAAACTCCAAAACTTCTTCCTTCTGTAATAAAAAACGATACTTTGTTGAAGAACATAAATCTTCGTCATTGAGCTTCTGGGTTGTCATGTCCTGGGTTTCTTGTTTCGTTTTTCTGTATGGAGATTCTGCAAATTGACATTTTAATAGCATGTGTTTAGTAGATTCATTTTTCTGTTCTGTTCAACCCTTCTGGCGACTCTTGAAATCGGACTCCACCTGGTTTGGGAAAGCCAAGGTAATTGTCTTTACCTCATCCTCAGTCTCTCTTCCGAAACAATTTTGATAATTTCTTCTCCATCATCTTGAGGTCTTTTTTGATTGCCGTGGAAAATTTGTTTCGGCTTATGGTTCATTGATCATTTGACTCACACTTATATAGTAGTAGGTATGTAGGGTTTCTCATTCGGTTTATTGCTCTTTCACAATTGGAAAATTTCCAAATATTATTGGATCATATTTCTTAAGTATCAAGGCTCTTTTGATTTGATATTATCGTTTTTATGCTTTCTAGTTTATGGAATTGAAGTGATTAAGACGTGAAATATATTCCGATTTTATTGCCTTTTTTTTTGAACGACCCGATTTTATTGCCTAAATTGTTATATTTCTATTAAACTTGTTTGATTCCATTTAATTGTTTCCAAGATTTGGTGTTATTCATAATATTAGTTTCGGTTTCATTTAACAAATTTATGGCATTATCTTCTTTTTTGGAAATATGATCGATATACTTTATCAAAAAAGAAATATGATCGATATATTAACTTTTTAAGGAGACGAACCGATTTACAAAAAGAATGGTTTCGGTTTGACAGAACCGTTAACCAGATTCTCATCTCAACATATGATTTAATTTAAGTGAACAAAGATCCGCGTCCTATTCAGTGAGTTAATTGGTGGGTTATTCGCGATTTAATGCTGTTTGGGTGGGTTATTCGCGAGTCACCGAGTTAACTCAGCCGAGTTGACTGTTGTTTTTACTAAATTACCCCTTCTTAGACCTGTTGCCAAACACTTTTTCTTCATAAAGGGATTGGTTTTTTGGTCCAAAAATTGTCAATGTACTTCTCAATTAATAATAAAGAGATACTATGAAATATCAATCATCTATTTGATTTTCATGTGAGGAAAATGCAAGTGACCGTTTCATGTGACTGCACCACGCAAAATGGCACACAGAGATGAGCAAGTCAAATGCGGAAACAGAGAAAACTCAAGCACCATCCCTAATATATTAAAAAGAAAAATATTTTAAAAGTAATATTTAGTTAATGTGTTATTAATAAAAATGTTATCCTAGATAGCTTCTTATATTATTTGTGAAATAATGAATAGTTTACTAGAATAATTACAAACATTGACATTTTATTAGAGAATCAAATATATATTATTAAATTAATCATATATGTAAGTATTCATAAAAAAATTATCATTTTATTTCCTTAATTAGCAATTACGAAACTATTAAATAAAGAAGACATGAGATTAAATTTAATTTTATCATAATAATTTCTTTTATTTTTTCATGAATTTAACAATGAATTAAGATTTATTGAAAGTTCGTTGATGAAGAACCTCTAACACAGGGAAAATATATAATAAGGTTCCAATGCAAAACAAGATAATTAACCTCACAACAACAAAAAAAAGGTAAATGCCACTTGCGCTGAAAATTTCAGACTTCGAACCTCTTCAAAGGGATGCAACAAAGAAAGATTTAGGAATGAGCTCCGTGTGAAGTTCAAATCTTCAAGAACAATCTCAGTCACCCGTCCGCTTGTACGGTTGCACTTAAGCCCCTCCCATCGGCAGCAATTGCTCTTTGTTTTATTAGTCCAAGTAGGGAGAAAATAGTCTATTTCCCATACTTGACTGTTTGAGAATAGGTATTGCTTGAGCTCGAACAAAGCATTCCTTTCTTTCTGAATACAGCTTCTGTATCCATGTAGCTGCCCCAACAATAATATCACCCATATCAAATAATTTCCTAAGAAAAACTTCCTCTCCATTGCAAATAAGATAATACTAAAATAAAATCCAAAAAAGAAGGTGGATTATCTATAAATTCAACAATAAATAAGTGTGTTGTATATTTAGATAAGTCGAAGTATCTCTGGTAATGAACACACTGAAAAGTCATGTGACATGGATAGAGTGATCGCTGTCGTTTACTTTGAAAAGTATGGTTAGACAAGTCAATGTTGTCTTTTGTAGAAAAATGCTCATAACTGTGCAAAGTCAGGTGGAGGTCTCTGTAGTAATTAATGAGATAAGATAAGTAAGGAAATTACGTAAAAATAGATATTGCTAGTGAAATTGTAAGGGCCTTCATGAAGAATAAGAATTGTCTGTTGGAATTAGGGATGATCGTTGATGATGACAGTGAAACCTTTTAAGTTGTAACGTTTTGAGATAAGAACTCTTTCACTATCTACAAAACTCAAGACAATGTTGTAGGAACATTTATTTTCGCAAGTAAATGATATTTTGGTGATCCTTTCTTTTTTCATGCTTACGATGATTTTATAGAGTAAGAAGTTCCCGATCTAATCGCGTTCACACATTTTTTTTTATCCTATATAGAGGCTGTTTAAAATAAAATGATACTAGTAGAGTACCCGCACGTTTGTGCGGTGTGACGTTGTTGTTTTGTGTAGAAAATTTAAACCCTAAATCCGAACCCGACAAAAAACCCTAATCAAAAAATTTAAAAACCCAAACTTTTTTAATAGGTCTAAACATGAAAATCCGAAATCAAAAAAATCCCGAAAACCCTGACTGAACAAAAAAAATCTGGAAACTTTTTCACCCGGAACCCGACCCCAATACCTAATCAAAATTTTAAAATACTCAATTTTTTTAATATATCTAAACCCGAAAACCAGAAATCTAAAAAATCCGGAAAACCCTAAACTGAAAAAAAAAATTGAACCTAACCCGAACAGAAATTTTCAAAGAAACCCGAACAATTTCTATATCTCTATATATATCTCTATAAAATTATGTCTCAGATTTTCACCCAAACCCGAACTTGTCTATAAAAACCCGAAAATCCAAAAAGCATATTCTATTGATTTGGAATTATCGTTAGATTATGTTAAGTTTTTTTTTTGCAGATTTTTAAGAGATGGAAAACGGAAGTTTTCTAAACCATCGGTTTATTTTAAGTTATTATTCTTGTATCCAAACAATTTTTTCCATTTATTCTTCTATCCAAATAGATTTTTCTCTTATTCTTATATCCAAACAACTTTTGTTTCCATTTATTCTTCTATCCAAATAGATGTTTCTCTAATTCTTGTATCCAAACATTAGAATGTACTTCTCAATTAATAATATAAAGATTAATTATAATTAATGATTTGAATGAGGATGATTAAACGAAAGTCGACTTGATTGCCAGTAATGTTGCTGAAAATCGTGGAACCAGATTGCCAACAAAGACTCCGGAAAGCGTCAAGACATCTGTTGAGGAAGGCCTGTTTTGCTCGAATAATCAGTTTGATCTTCTTGACGAGCAGAGCTTGAAAATGGTTCATACTACATCGAGCTATAATGCATGATGCAAGAATATTTTGTTGGACATGATATAACTATATAAGCTTTGAAGCCTGTTAATTTCCTTCAGTGAAACAAGCATGAAGCATCCAAAGGTATAATTACATATTATGTCAGCAAAACTAGATAAACGAAATCCGGACTTAAAAACACGATCGTTGTATTAATCTCAGCCATGAAACAAACTTTTAAAAAGCTAATGTTTTTAAAGATCAATTCAAGGGCTCTTTGAGATAATTGAAACAATTTGTTCATATATCTTTTGCCCCAAAGATTTATATTAAGCACGTCCTACTATATAAATTGTAACTCTAACC